CTTAGCCTCCCCTATTATTTCCATGAGGTCCCTTTTAAATTCTACTGTTAGAAGATGTCTTCTAGTTTCAGAATTATGATGAGTGTCTTACCAAGTAAGGACAGACTAAACCCTAACTTGGTCTGTAAAGACATTAATTTCATTTAAAAGCTGTATTGGTATTTGCTGCCTTACTCTCTGGGTTGACTTTGAGTGGCGCCATCAAAAGGCAATTTAAGGATATGTGGAAACAAGCAACAAGCCATGATTTGTAAATGTATCTAGTCCTGGACCCAAGATTTAGTCATGAGGCAACTACCTCTTTTTGAGTAAGTACTCCTCTATATTGAATCCATTGCCCAACATTTTAAGGATATTTTCCTTTAGCAATGGCTCTTTAGTTTCATTAAGAGGGTGGTCTTTTTGATTCAAGTCTTAAAAGAAAACTCAAAGTAGAACCACAAAATGCAAATAATTACAATTCACAAATGGTTGGATGTAAGTAACTGAACATAGCAATATCTCCCAATATTATGTGAACAATATTCATAGCCTTCATATAAAATGTTTCTATATATTTGACAACACTATCAAAAAACCAGTATCTTCTTTACCTTAGTGATTTTAGCATGTTCTTACTAAATCCGGGATACCCACCGGATCTTATAGTCCAGTGGCGGCTCGTGGGGTGGTTCACAGTGACAGAATATAGGTATCAGTACAGATGTATGAAAAAACTTTCATTGTTTTAGAAAGTTTATAATATACCTTTCTAAAACACTGACAGTTTTTACCTATATCTGTACCGGGATCTATATTCTGCTACTGTGAACCCCTAAAATTTTGGTCACGAGCCGCCCCTGAGTCTCACTATATTTAATCCGCACTAGATTTGTTATTAACCCACACTGGGTTCATAATAAAACTTGCACTGAGATGTTACTATCTGGAATCACGTGTAAACTAAATCGACTCGAAAGAAAAAAGTGTCCAATTTACCAGCATACGCAATATAAAGTTTTTCTAGATCGTTGCTTACACTATCAAAAAACCAATATCTTTTTGTCTTAGTAATTTAACAGGTCCACACTGAACCTGGAACCCGCACTGGGTCCTAGACTCGCATTGACTTTATTTAATGTTATAAACCGAACTGGGTTCTATAAAAAAAACTCGAGTTATAACACTACTTGGAATGTGGAAGTAATGTGATTCGAAAGAAAAAAGTTTGTCTAGTTCGCCATCGTTATATGGCCTACCTGGAATCCCATGTAATGTGATTCGAAAGAAAAAAAGTCAGTTTTCTTTCATTTGCCAGATGTTTAACAATGCTATTAAAAAATTAGTTTTAACAGGTTTATACTGAACCTGGGACTCGCAGTGGGTCTTAGACTCGCACTAAGTCTTTTTAGTCCGCTCTGGATTCGTTATAAACCCACAATGGGTTTTAGATTAAACTCACACTGAATTATGGCACGATCTGGAGGCACATGTAAAAATGTGAATTGAAAGAAAATGTAATTATGTCCAGTTTACCATCATCCTCCATATAAAATTTTGCTAAACCAGTATCTTCTTTGCCTTTATGATTTAACAGGTTCGCAAGTATGTCCAGTTTACCATCGTCAGTCTCCAATTTTTTTGTAATCTAAAACAATTCATGTATTTTTAACCTACCTGCATCCTTCTGTTGATAAATAAATACTGTCTCTGGTTCTTCTGCCAAAGAACTAAAACTGGATGAATGCATTTTCTATGTCTAAATATTCTGCATTTTACATTGGTGATTTTCTTCATTACAATCGCTCCCGCTGTTTAAGATTTCTTCCTTTCTGTTTGTTGTTTCTTAAGTGTTTTTATCTTCTTACTTAAACGACACAATTTTAAGTCGTTGTCCGACGTTTCTGTTTATGAATAATATTTTCCTATATTTTATTAAAATTTAAAACATTTTCGATTTGACGTGTGTACACAACTTTGCACCAAAATGAAAAGTAAGCCACATCCGCAAAAGGCGGGAACTACATAGAAAGTGAGGTTATAAGTTTTGGCTTTGGACTATGGTGCACAACTAGTACATAAATGAGTACTACGTTTACTTATCATCTGAAGAAGGGAGCGCAGTGTATAATTAAATTCACGGAAGCGCGAATTTTCAGACTGGGGCGCTTAGGCATTACAAATGATACGTGCCTCTAAAAAACAACTTATTTTGAACCAAAGCAAGATGAACATTAATGACTATAGCTACTACGCGCCCCAGTCTAAACGTCCATAATAATGAATTTCAACTTAATTTTTGATAAGTTATCATTATCTAACATTGACTTTCAATATTAACTACTTTTTGTCATTTTTTTTAATATATTATAATGGTACATAATCCGAGGAAAACTAAATTCGATTGTTCAGGACTAAATGGCCTGTGTAACCGAACCAAATAGCCTGTGTAACCTACCATAGAGGAGGATGGAGAACATTTATAACAATTTATCAATAAATAAACCTATAAATTTCAAGAAAAACATTTATATTAAAAATTAACATTGAAACGCCATAAGGCAACTTTACAGCCAAAAATAACATATTTGACCTAATTTCTGACACTAATGAGAATGATAAAAACAAAGTATGGAACCCTTAGATAAAACTGGTACAATAAAAGTTACATCAAACAATTTAATTATTAAACTATAAGCAAATTAAACATCACCCATAACCTAAAAAACCCCATGTAAAATGTAAGGATATAAAAGGCTTTTAAAGCGTAAAATTAGATTAAATAGATATTTCCAAATAAGATTAATTAATACATAATGAAATTATTACATAAAAAGTAAATAAAACGACAATAAAAGCATTTTATAATTCATCAAATTGGTGTGAGAATTTGATTAATTGTAAAGTTAATATAAGACGGATCAACATAAAATTTATATTAAAATGATCACAAAAAGAAACTACATAATTCTATGAACTCGAATCAGTCCAAGAAAATATAAAATAATTTAATGAATTGGCTAATAAATTTAAAATTTATCGAAAATTGCATCTAGTTGGCCATGAGATTGCGATTATACGAGTATAAAACCAATTTCGCCGGTAGAACGGGGCTTTTTGAGTGTAATCGCTTGCCAAAGAAACATGTAGTTCAACAATGTAAAAACAAATGAAGAGAGAACCAAAAGTCAACTTAATGAAAGGTATTTACCAGAAGTCCTGAAGTAAAATTGGTAGGTGAAAAGGCAGATAGAATTTTGGAGATCATCCTGAGCCCTGTTTACATCCAACCCATGATCTCCAGAATCTAAAATCTCAACTCCACAGACTTCCTTTATGTTTTCCACACTCCATATTCCAACCAAGACTGACTGTGATTCTCCTGTGATTTTGTGCCCCAGTGATAACAGGTACCAAACACTATAAATAAATAAATATGATCATATTTTCCGCGTTATAACAGACTTATTTTAAATGATAAGATTTTGTAAATATTAAGTTGTAAATATTATTCGTAGGTTATGTCACATGTTTTTTTTATTATTCACATATACGTTAATTGAAATCATAAGTTTAATATTAAATAATTAATAATAAGCACTTACCAGTAAATATTCTCCTGATCCATAAAATATCCAACAATATTAAGCTTATTCATAACATTTAAGCTTTGTCCCAACATCTCACAAAACCGTAATATTACGGTCATCGTCATGCGCAGTAAATAAAAACCTATCAATAAAGCCCAAAGTCGAACGGTTTTTATTTACTGCGCATGACGATGACTGTATTATTACGGTTTTGTAAGATGTTGGGACAAAGCTAATATCTCACGAGTTATGTAAACGCACAGCGCACAGCTGTTCATAATATTATTTGTACTATTCGACACGTTACTTTGACAAAACGGGGGAAATTTAAATGCTTAATTCTCCTTACTTTAAGTTTACAGTTATTTTTAGTTCCTATTTGTTTGATTTATTCTCATTCTCTAATCTAACAGGCATGTTTAATTAAATAAAGATATTTTTTATGATTTATTATTTTTTTATATACTTATAAAATACAGGTAAACTGAAATTAGGTCAAACGTATTTGAACCCAACTGAGATAGGAATCCTCACGATCTCCGAGAGGTGGCGCCCAGGCAAGGTTCTGTCTAAGGTTACAGAACCCGGTAAATAAAGAAAAATAAAATACATAAAAATATTTCAATCGTTAGAATCATGGTATGGTATTTATAATGTTACATAAAGAATATCAGATCATAATATATCATAAATACTAAATACCACGATAATATCTATTTCTTAAAACAATGTGGTTATAGAAAAATCTTGTATTGAAAATTTCGGCAAAGTACACTCTTAATACACAAATAGCTATTATTTTTAGAAATGCATTAAAAAGCATATTTATTCGCACAAGGAAAGTGTCTTCTTTAGTGACAAAATAAATAAGTAAACGTGTCATAAATTTGCTGGGCGTCACATTATATTTTACACTTGTCAACTATTTCACTTCTTAGTTGCTCAAATAATTTCTTGTTGCTGGATTTTAAGTTTTCGTGATTTTATTCTGAACGACTAACTCTGACTTAACACTCTGAAATTATACAGTGTGTCTCAGACTTAAATGTAAAGCCAATTAGGGCTGGGTTCAAAACATTCCCTAACTTAGCCGATGTAATTTCAGTTTAAGATATCAAAGGTGATTTTTACTGAAATGTCCTATTCTACTTAACCGTTTTTGGTACATTATATACATTACACCTGTCAGAAATCAACATCAAGTCCAACGAATATTTTACAATTTTTGTTTTATTAAAAAGTATCACATTATCATTAAATTTTAAATCTACATGGGAAAAACAACCGCATTAAAAAAACTGTCACAATTATGACTTTAACTAAAATAATATTTAAATGTGGATCCACAGTGTAATTTTGGTAGTCTGTTCAATCCAGTTCATGAAACCAAAATAATCATTTATGTACTTAATTGTATTTATTTTTTTTCAGAATGTACGAGCGCTCATGAAGAATCAGTCACTTGCCCTTTAGAAGTCAGCGAATTAGAAGCCATAGATAACGAACTTTCTGACGTCGAGAATAAAACACCAGTAAGTAATTAAATTATGGACAAGACTATAAAAATTGAAATATTACGTAACTAGTGTCAAAAGTAATATATAAGGTGGTGAATTTTTTTAAGTGTGTTATGACTTTGGTAGGAACTATCCCATTAACCAGTCTTGATTTGATTTGTATATTTTTTTAAATATTTAATAGACATTGTCACTGTTTTCCATGGCCACTTTAGGAACAGTACTGTCAATTATTATCAAGAAGAATATATCTATAAGATCCTGTTTCCGAAATATTTGAAAAAAATTAAATTGGCGTATTTCGTTTAATTTAACACTTTTAACTTTTTTGTTTGAGATGAAATACCGCTTAACAAAAGCTACATTTTTAAAAGATCGTTTCGTCTTTAAATTGCCTCTCATTTTTTTTTAAATTCGGACCTGTACTTTTTATATTATTTTTGAAATATTAATTTTTTTTCTATCCAACTGTCACACTAAGGTCCGTATTCGCAACGAATTTTAAATATTTATCTAAGTGTTACCACGTGTAAATCCTTAAAAATAGAAACGTCAATTTAGAGAAAAAGTAGAGTTGGACGATGGCGTCACACTTTGAATCGTTACTGTGATTTGTAAAATTCAAGAAATAAAGATATATTTCTTCAAATCATTAACTAATTAAATATTGAATTTAAAATATTATCCAGCTTGTATCAAAAAAGTTTTGACAGATTATTCTATGATATTTTTATAGAGAAATTGTACTGTTATAATTTCGATGTATCAAGTATCAAATCTTATTTAAGAAACAAATACCAGTATGCCATAGTTAAAATATATCTTCTGATATTTTACCAATAAAAATCGGGGTCTAACAAGGCTCCGTTTTAGGACCTATACTTTTTGTGATATATAAATGCTGTAGAGCTGCAGAACTGCCAAAAAATGCAAATATCTCATCTACATTTCACAGAAATATTTTAGAAATTCTATAATATTCTATCTAAAATAGATTCTTTCTACACCCACATAGATATTAGCTTATCTACGCACAGATTACCAAACGAAAAAGTATGCTTTTGCGTTCAATTGAACGAATATATTTCATATTCATTTTAGGTAGTGAGATTACTGCAAAAAAATGAAATCCACTAATCACAGTTAATATTTTGTACATCCAACTTATTACGGGCTCAATACTTTTGTACAACAGAGATTTTAAAATTAAAATAAACTAAAGAAAAAATTAAAAATACTTGTGACACTCGGGGACTGCCGCGGTAAAGCTATTGCATAGCATTTTTATCAACTTATGCAATTATAATTTTTTATTTATTCGGTGTTTTTTTTTTCTTTGATATTAATTCAAGTTTTTTCTTTGATATTAATTCAAGTTACACTTTTTGAGCGTGGTAACCGATAAGAAAACAATTTTTTTTTACTACTAACATGAGAAATCACCATTATTTACTCCATTCCTCTAATGAGAAGTAATATTTCTCTCCCTAGGTAAATAATGATAATAAAAAAAACCTAGGTAAATAATGAAACTAAATTTCATTAGTTTCATTTTGTTAATTTGACAACTAAACTCCCAGACTACTTGATATTTTGAAATATTTGAAAAATAAGTAGGAAATAACTAAAGCTGGGTTTATCAAATCTAATCAAATCAAATATGATAATATATATCAGTGTAAACAGTAAAAATATATATTAACTAGGAAATTCAACACCGGCTTTAAAAATTATTAATTAATAACAATAAATCCATGTCATTAAAATATCAAAAATGCAATGGGATATTTCCTAGAATCATACCAAAATTTGACACATGCCAAATTTTTACAAAAATAAAGCCAGTCTGATTAGAAACACGCTCCAGTCTGCTTGATATTTCGAAATATTTAACAAATTGTTAGGAAATTACTTATGTCAAAATTAAAATTGCTAATACATTAATGTTAGTAGTAAAAAAAATTCTATATATACCTCGGCTGAGAAAGCTATTATTTATAGCTCACTTCTCACCCTAGGTATATAATGTACTATTTTTCTTTAATTGAATAAATGAGAAGTTAATATTGTTTAAAATATTTTTAATATCTTACAATACATGTAGGTTATTCAGGAATTTTAACATTGAAACTATAGGTTTATGGTAACTGAAATAAGTTTGAGACTTGATATCCTCTAAATATCTGAAAAATACCGCGTCAATGGTGGTCCCATATTTTGTTGTGGATTCTTGTGGATCATTATTCATTTTCAAATTCAATTTTTCCGAAATTGTGTCTAAAAGAGATAGAATCAGTTAGCAGCTAGTCTACACGCATATGTCTAGTCGCACGTACACAAACATCGTGCCGAAGTCTGCCGAACTGAAACGACGTTAGACGATGCACGGCTTTTAACGCCGCACCGCTGTGCCGGTCGGAGTGAGGGGTGTTAGGTTTATTTTCGTTACGGAATTTCTGTTTCGATTTTTTGATTTTTCGATTTTTCTTCGTTTTTTTTCGATCTTTTTTTCGATTTTTTTTCGATTTTTTTTTTTTCGATTTTTTTTTTCCATTTTTTTTTTCGATTTTTTTCGATTTTTTTTAAAATTTTTTTTTTCGATTTTTTTTCGATTTTTTTTTTATTTTTTTTTTTCGATTTTTTTTTTCGATTTTTGATTTTTTTTCGATTTTTTTTCGATTTTTTTTCAATTTTTCGATTTTTCTATTTCTCCATTTTTCCATTTTTCCATTTTTCCATTTTTCCATTTTTGCATTTTTTCCATTTTTCCATTTTTTCATTTTTTCATTTTTTCATTTTTTCATTTTTTCATTTTTTCATTTTTTCATTTTTTCATTTTTTCATATTTTCATTTTTTCATTTTTTCATTTTTTCATTTTTCCATTTTTTCATTTTTTCATTTTTCCATTTTCTTTTATTGAATAAACGAGAAGTTAATATTGTTTAACGCCGCCGCACCGCTGTGCCGGTCGGAGTGGGGGGTGTTAGTTTTTTTTTCGTTACGGTCGTTACGGAATTTCTTGATTCGGTCGCCGCACTCAAAGCCCGCGATAACGGCTATGCAATAGCTTAAAAATAAATAAATAAATACAGTTTAAAATAATGCTAATAGATATTTAATAATTATTTATTTTACTTGAATTATTACATTCCAAAGCACAAACAATATTGACCTTAAACTTGAACTCTTCTTTTTCCCATTGTGGTCCAAAATATTAGGTACTCTTCTGCCTAAAAATATTAACATAAAACCCTACTACGATTAGGTTTATTATTGTCACCAAAAATCTCCTACCTTAGATCAAGGAAATATCGCCTAGTGAGAACATTAGTGACCTAACTCCGAAATGGCGATCTGAGATAATCGCAGTTGAAGTTTGTACGAAAATTTATTTTTTTTTTGGCTATACGTTTGGAACTATCTTACAGATTTTTTTTCTCTAAATTTTAAATATCTTTCAAGTCGTAATGTAACACGTTTTTTTTTTTCGAGTAAATGAATATTAACGATGTTACATTAGTCAGTATTGCGCTCGAAGTTGAAAATAAAAATACCAGGCAGGCATTACTGAAGACTACTGCCACCGAAGAAATAGTAGAAGAACTATAATTTCGCCATTTATGTACCAGTTGCGGGCTACATTAAGCAATCTTTTGATGTACATAAGACGAAAACGAGTATTTTTGAGTTACGTCACTAATGTTCTCACTAAACGATATGCTTTCTATTTCACTTCCTGGTTATGTCTCTTTTTTGGGCTGAAATTAGGCCATGTGGACTCATTAAAATTTAAAGCCTTTAAAAAGCCTAAAACAAAAACAAATTCCATCAAAGATATTGTATTACGAAAAATTAATCAAAGCTGATTATACGCGTTAGTGGATTTGTATACATATCTTTAGAAGGCCGCTACTTCTTCACGGTAAGCTACCTCGATCTCATCTCATCATAAAAACTTAATATATTGGATTCATTCTGTTTTCAGGCTATCGACTATCAACTACCACCTAGCTTTTATTAGTTGCTGACTACCATATAGTGGACTAGTTACTATATTTTGTCACACACAATCTGTCATTGTACTTTGTACAGTGAGCAGATTCAGTGACACATTTCTTGTTTATTTACATTTTATTTCCTATTGGATTTTATTTTATTGTATCTGAATGTATATATTGCTGGTAAATAAACATTATTATTATTATTATTATTATTATTATTATTATTATTATATCTACAATTACCTCTCATCTAACCCATATTCTTGGATGAAACATTGGAATAAGAATCATATTTAATAGCATACTCACCTTCCAGTCTGTATCTGTTTGATACTGACCCCAACGCACTTCTGCAGATGATGGGTGCTATGATTGAACGTTTACGTTATCCGTAACGTACATGTTAGGCCGAGTTTTAACAGAAATGAGGCAAATTCGTATGATGAAAAATTTTTTTCAACACGTTACTGTTATTTTCCGCCTGTTATCTTCTAATTTAACAGTTTTCCATCATCCGAACTTGCCTCGTTACTTTTAAAATTCGGCCTAACATGTACGTTACGGATAACGTAAACGTTCAATCATAGGACCCAATGTCAGGTTCAGGTTGGAGATTTTGAACCTTTAAAATTATGTGTAGTACGTGGGTTCATTTACGGTTTTTTTATTGTTATAATCATATATTGTCAATTTTAATCAAAGATATTTAATCTGTTGCACATAAAGAACTCTTTAGATAAGACCCCAGACCACTCTTCAGTTCAGCAACAATAAAATTGTACTAAACTGAGTTTGAGCCGAGAGCAATCTATATTTCTATTTTTTTTATTTTTATTTATTTTTCTATTTTTAAAAAATAGGGGTTAATTAAATAAAAATCTTAATCAAATTTGTATATATAATGGATAACGAAATCGTCACAAATAAATTTTCGCCACAGCATATTACACAATTTACAAATGTGAAAACGTAAAGATGATGTTTCTTTGGTTTATTTTTACAATTTTGGGATT